TCAAATCCCCCTTCCCCCGACGACGCACTCCCGTCAAATCCCCCCCCCCCCCCCGACGACCCACTCCCGTTAAATCCCCTCCCCGACGAGATGGTTTTTTTTTTCTCCTTTTCTTTTCTGGGTTGCAGATACTGGGTGCGGAGGAGGAGGTGGAGGATGGGTGCACGGTGGGTTTGGGGAAGACGAGAGGGAGGAGAAAGGGGTGGGTTGCAGGGAAGATGAAGATGGGGGGTTTTTTTTCTCTCTTTTTTCTTTCTGGGTTGCAGGTTGGGCTCGGGTGGGGGTGGGGGAGATAGGAAGATGGGTGTGCGAAGGAGGTGGAGGATGGGTGTGAGTGGTTTTGGATTTGGGTTACAGGGAGGGAGGACGATTGGGAAGATGAAGGAGATGGGGTTTCGGCGGGGTATAGGTTGGGGGAATATGAGAGTGGGGAAGAAGAAAGTTGAGGGTTTTTTTTTTTAATTTTTTTTAATAGGGTTATATTATAATATTTTTAATGTATAAATATTTTTTTTTTACCACGTGGCAGCCACATCAGCACAAATGTGGTAGCCACGTCAGCATTTAACAGAGTAGTGGATGGGAAATCTAACGGAGGTGTTATTTTGAAATAAAATGGTACTTGATGTATGAAAGTGAAATGTTTTAAAGTTATTGTATGAGGTTGTATTAGACCTCAAACCTGAGGGGCTATTATGTAATTTACCCTAAAACATGATATAAGTAACTGAACAATATGGTATTCAATGTTACCTCACAAACAATCTAAATCAATATATATCTTATTGATGATGAACTAATCTAATATAAAATGTTCTAAGTTTAAATTTCATAGACAACAATTACGAACAATAATTGTTTAGAAAGCAATTCGTCCTAGACCTAGATCTAACGGTGTTGTAGGAGTCGCCCATTAGCATATCTATTGTTGGTCATATTATAGAAGATGCAAAAACTTTGTTGTTGGGGTCATTGAAGTTAATTCTACTTATGTTCGTCATCAAGGCGACGTGTTGCCTACCGCCTTACTCACTTTATAATGTATATTGTCAATGTCGGTACTTCGACTTCAAGTATTTTTTCATTTAATTTCGGAGGCTTTATTTGAGAATGCAATTGTTAATTTGTTGGTTAGATATTGGAGGAGCATCGGGGGGGCATTTTATCAAGAGTTTCGTTCCTTCCAAGCCAAGCAGGGGGTTAAATAGCTTTTTTTTTTTTTTTTTTTGGGGGGGGGTGTTGAACTCGCACCAGTGTGCATACATTATTGCTTTTCGTAAAGCATTATCTGCTTAAATTACCAAAATTGGAATCTCTTCGAGTTTGAACGATCTTGAGCACACTTGTATTAAATTAAAGAAGCTTTACTTAGTCATGCAACATCGTTCTATCCATAAATAATGCGACGTCGGTTACAAAAGTTAGTTTTAAAGTGATAGTCTAATAACATAATACATTATCATTTTACACAATGATCTGATAATATTCTTCTTCACTTGTAAGTGAAAAGTCTTAAATTCAATTCTTTTAAAAGGAAAATTCGAACCAATTATTATGGTTGACACAACTTAAAGCCCCCCACTAAAATTAAGGAAGGAACGAGTGCATAATAATTTCTTAATTTTTACTTAAAGATCATCTTTACAAACATTTATTAGAATCAAACATCGTTTAGTCATTTATAATATAAAACAAAATAACAATATAAATATTTATAAAACAAAATAACAATATAAATATTAAGTAACATAATTATGATAAACCTTTCATTTATATGGATACTATTCGCAATGATGAGATATATATCCATTTGGAAAAATTAGGTTCTCATCCCTATTTTCTCTACTTCATTGATTAAAACCTTATTCATTTTTAATTTTTTATCAACGTCCTTTGATTTTAATAAACGCCATTAATTATTTCAATAATAAAATATTTTTTATTTCTAAATATATTCATTTAGTGTTAGAAACGTTACATTTGTTATATTTATATTCATGGCTAAATTTTGATCATATATTTTTATTTTTTAGTTTGTACCCATTTTTAATTTGCAACCATTTTTTAATTTGTATCAATTTTCTTTTCAGTTTTAATTTGTACTAATATATTAATTCCTTTTTTTGCCCATATTTTTTAAACTTTTATTTGTATTTGTATCCATATTTTTTTATTTATTTGTACCCATTTTAAATTTTGCTAAATGTACCCATGCTAATTATACGTATTTATTTTATCTTTTAAAATATATCAATAGTTAATTTTTAAAATATGTTAATAATTATGTGGGTACATAATTTTTTTGAAGAACAATATTACTCTAAAATTAATTTTTAAGTATTTATTATATTTAAAAATATTATTTGAATTTGTTTAAATTTCATAATTTGTGGGACATTAAATGCATGAATTAAATATCTTAAATAAGACTAAGAACCTCGATCAAAATATTTAAATAAACAAAATTTTAGTCTAACAATTAATTAGAGACCGCAACCAAAATGAACCTTTCTATTTCCTAACGGAATGCAAAGGATTATCCAACTTTGTCACCGCAAACTTGCGAAGCCCAAAACATGCCAAAACGCTAAAACCCTTTTAATACTTGACGACGCCGAACGATCCTTCCCATCCCCCTCCCTTGCAGTAACTGCGGGCCCTTGAATTGCTTGAGACTCAGTCTGAGGAGAGAGACTCTCAGCTGCCTCTCTCTCTGCTTTTTTCAGCTCCTCTGCCCCTTCCCTCCAGTGGGTTTTAGTGTTTTTTGCAGAACCTATAGCAGTAGCCTTTGAGCTATGGCGACTGAAGATGAAAGCATCGTTAAAAATGGTGGCAACATTTTCACCAACGAAGCTGAGCCTTCAGCCCACATGGTACCCCATTTTTTATTGAAAATTCTTTGGTGGATTGTTCTTATATATTTGTTTCCTGCTTTCCGTTTTCCTCACTTGTTGCTTCAATCCGTTTAAGATTTTATCAGACGTTTGTTTGTGAATTGTGAAATTTCTAAGTTCGTATTAGTTTTCTTCCTTAATTTCTTGTTCTCTTTTACTTAAACTGGGTTAATGCATGATTAAACTGCCGATTATTATACTTTCAATCTTAAGTTGCTATCTGTATAACTATGAAATTCAAGTTGTAAGCATCCAAATCCTTTTAGAACTAGTCAGGCTTTACACTGTTATTGTTTTCGTGTTATATTTCTGTGTGTTTTTCTTAATTTTTTGGGTAAAAAGAACTTGCCTTTCTGTTTGTTTTCAAAATTCTGTGTTTTCATGATGTTCTTAACGAGGAACAATTCATATGATTTTGCTCTATTGTAATTTTGGTCTTATACACACACACACACACACATACATACACACACTGTGTGTGTGTGTGTGTGTGTGCGCCAGTTCTTTCCTCAATCTGACATCCATGCCAGAGAAAATATATTGACTCGTGCGAGTTCTTGGCTATTCATTTCTCATCTTGTTGTGCATCATAGACGTGATTGTCTGAGATTGTTGTATAACTAGTAGTTGATCAGGTAAAGATGTTGTGTTTGTAGAATGCGTATTTTTCTGATCCTGAATGATCTTTCTTTTGTTCTTCTCTCACAGGGTGGAGATTCCACTGAGATAATTGAAGAAGCTCCTCCTGACCCATCCATGGAGACGACAGAACCTCGTGTTACAGATACCTCCAAGAACTCTTGAGGATGCCAAAGAAGATTTTGTGAGCATAAACATGCCCCCAACTCCGAGTCCCACTCCCAAAAGAGTAAACTTCTCCCCATTACCCAGCCCCATTGTAGCCAAAATCAGTGGTTCCCCAGGTCCCTCATCATCAAAAACTAAATCAACCACAAAAAGAAGCCTCCTTCCAAAACTTAGTTTCAAAAACGGAACACTACTTCGGAGATTCAGAAGGCTGCTGCTCTAGCACTAGGAGGCTTACCTGCAGGGACACGTGAAAAGCCTACAATTCCAAGGACCTGGTCCTTTACAAAGCTTTTAACTCCCAGGACGAAAAATACATCATCCTTGCCTGTAACTCCAAGCTCACTCAATCAGAGTCATTTGTGCAGCACAGTGATAACACCAATCTGAATTTGGTGAGACTGGCGTTTGTTCAAGTTCATCAAAAAACTGAAAAAATTTAAATAACAAGCAGGTCAAAAACTAAAAGTCTAATGCTTTCAAGTAAATAATAAATACTGGTGTCAGTTCCTAAAACTTGTTCGAGTATACACCTTCCAAAGTTTGCCATGGTTTGTTCATACGTATAGGTTATCATTATTGAATCGGATTTTCCTACGAAATTCATTCCTGGCAAGGCTTGCACGCCTGCTCTAATACCTTTCTGGGGCACTAGCCTGCCTTCTGACCAAGAACGTGAGTGTAAGTGGTAAGTCTAGGAAAGCTTTTAAAAGCAGGAAAGGTTAGTTTACTTATTCAGGACCTGGTCCTGCATTACAAAGCTTTCTAAGCTTCCAGGACTCTACATTCCAAGCCTGTACACTCCAATTGCTCCTCAAATCCAGAGTTGAATGCAGGGGAAACTGCCCCGAGTGATCAAAATTGTGGTAGAATCACTGTTGCTGAGAATGAATTGAGTGACCATAAGTTGTTAATACAATTTTATTGTGACTAAGTGAATCTTTTCATATACAAAATTTTGAATCTGTAGTCTCATTTTATATTTATGCAATTAAATGCTTATTTCTTGTGTGGGAAAGTCTTGATCTGTTGCACAAGAAAAAACTAAGGTATGATTTATAGGGTCTGGGAGTTACAAGAACATCGTATGTTCTAGTGGCGGTGCACCGCCCTTGTGATGGGTTCCCTGAAATTTCCCCCTTAATTTCTTGTACTGCTTCCACTGAAAATATCAATGGGACCAAAAGACAACCTTTTCGCACCTTTATCACGTTGCAGAGAAAGCTAGCCTGGGAATGTAAATGTGCGATTAGCAGCTTAGGCATAGTCCATTGGTGCACCACACAGAATTTTTTTAAGCGGAGGCTAAACATTGGTTCCTATTCTTTCCTCTATCAAGTTGAGTTCCTACAGTGGGTTGCAATGCCGTTTCATTTTATGATGTTCCCAAATTTTGTTCCTTTTAAAATTACTTCCATAAGGTGCTTTTCTTAGAACTTTCATCAGATCAGCGCTTTAAGCCTTGAGCTCTGCATCCGGAGATGGCATCTGAGTGCGTCTACTTGTTGCACACATTTTATAAGGAACAAGTATTTCTAGCATAGTTATTTTGTCTCAATTAACCCTCACAGATATGTTTACATGATTCTCTACTTTGCAGAAAGCAGAGGCCCAACGACCTATTCACCGTTCACATTCAGTCCCTGCGATTAATAAAGATGGAAGCATATATGTAGGCAGTGTCATTCGTGTAATTCCAACCACACCACGAGTGGCTGAAAGGACTGTCACGACAACATCAAGCACATCCCCTGTAAATGACACTGGTAAGTCCTTCTAATTGTCTCTGTCCATATCGACAAAAACCATTCCTATTCCTTTACAAATGCACCTGAGTGCCATGATATACCAATTGTCCGTGTTTTCAGATTGTAGCTACCTTTGATCCTGCTTTTGTAACTTGTGATAACCAACCTATGCCTTATCTTAGTCTTGCGGTTCAGGTGGAAGCGTTGATGGTGGTGAAGATATTGCTGAAGAAGAAGCTGTTTGTCGAATTTGCTTAGTTGAGCTGGGTGAAGACGCTGACACCCTCAAGATGGAATGCAGCTGTAAAGGCGACCTTGCTCTTGCCCACCAAGAATGTGCTGTAAAATGGTTCAGCATTAAAGGTAATAAAAAATGTGATGTGTGTGGAGAAGAGGTTCAGAACCTACCGGTCACCCTTCTACGAATTCAAAATTCTCAGGCCGTTAATTTTCGAGCAAGTAGAGCACAGCAGGCTGAGGCTACTCAATATAGGCAAGTGAAAATTTTCAACTGTTGTAATGCTCGGGAAGCGGAAATTTCTGCACTTTCTGTGTCTTTATTGTGTTCGATACCACCTCCTAGGATGGTATAACTAATAATGCATGCAAATTTTGTCAGGGTTTGGCAGGATGTTCCCATCCTTGTCATAGTCAGCATGCTTGCTTACTTCTGTTTTCTTGAGCAACTTCTGGTAAGTCATTCAACTTCGTTATGCTTTTCTTTCTTAGCCTTTCAAATTCTAATTAAATCACATGGACAGGTGGGGAAAATGGGATCTGGTGCAATTGCTTTCTCTTCCTTTTTCCTGCATTTTGGGTCTTCTGGCATCCATGACATCGACCACGATGGGTAAGCTAACTTTGAAATACTGTCATGCAATAGTTTGCGTTGCATGGATTCAGTGATTTTCCTTCCAGTATAAAAAATAGAATTCAATGATCGTTCTGTTTTACTGACTGAGAAATTTGTGCTCAGTGAGAAGAAGATATGTCTGGATTTATGCAACTATTCAGTTTGTACTGGTGGTTCTCGCGGCACATCTACTTTATTCATTGGTAAGAGTTACTCCTGTGATCAAGTAGCGGGTAGGATTTTTCAAAGTTTTGGCTACAAATGCCTAGAACAAAAAAATGCTGATCAAAATAGCGAGGGACGTGCAAATGCACTTCTTGAATATGCGCGTTCACCTTATTGGTAACAATGTCTTAAATTTTCTTGTTCGGTCCACAGATTCACATGCAGGCAGTTCTGGCTCTTCTCCTCGCCACCTTTTCAGGATTTGGAGTTACAATGTGTGGAAGTTCTTTTATTGTCGAGGCTTTGGGATGGAGGGAAAGATGGCGTTCTCAGCAGTCAAATCAACAGCGTGGTTCTCAGGAGGTGGCGCAGCCGAATCAATCACCCCAGAATACACAACATACACAGACGAATCCCCAACAGCGGGAAACTGAACTCGAATGAGCAGAAGTTACTCATGGCAGCTGACTTCTCTACCTTAGCATGCACGAATGCCACCGCGGCGTACTAAAGGAAAGTCTGGCTGTAAACTGCTACGAAATATAGCACATGTTAAGCGTTGTACATAAACTATTTGTACATATAGGTTGGCCTTGAGAGCCACATTGTTCGGCTCATCCTTCGTTATGATTTCGCGAAAAATGATCAGAACTTCCTCTGTTCTTCGTAGACGTTAAGACTGCATTACGTGCTGAAAAGTAGATTATTGTTCCGTTGCACTGATGAGATGAAACATATTTCAAGGGAGCAAACATCGTATTATTCGTGTAGGTCAGCAAATATATTCTAGCTAAAAGCCGTTTCGTAATTACAAATGGGGGTTTTCTCCCTCCCAACCTCTTGCTGCCTTCAATGACATTTTTGTCTGTACAATTGAAACAGTTGGTTGCATCGCAATGCCAATCAGATTATGCTCACGAAAGTGCTTTTTTTTTGTCTGCAAAACCAACTAGACAACAAGAGAAAAATTGCTACACAGGCAGATAGGTAGAAACTGTAACTCGATGGGAAAAATCATCGAAAAAAGAAAAAAAAGAGAAACTTGCGTTGCTTTGTCTGACGACAGTCTGGTCATTGCTTGTAACTCGAACTGCCAACCTTGACTGAGGACAAAGGCTTTTCCTTCGAGCTGGTACTTAATTCGGACGAGTTGTTTGATTGGGTTTCTGAAACCCCAGGTCTCACCCAAACTTTTATATGCCCCTCTCGGCAGACAGTAAGAACGGATTCTTGGGTAAACATCACGCCAGAGAGGGGTTCAGTGTGTACCCGGTGAGCAACCAGCGGTGATATTTTTGGAACATCTCGCAAGCTTGGAGCAGGCTGCAGAGTACCTACTGGAAGTGCATTGTCCCAATGAGATGACTGGCTTCCAGCACTATATGTGGGGGACCCGCCAGGAGGACATCGCCGCAATGGCACAACAATCTCATCCATTTCCAGGTCCCACAGAAGCAACTGTGTGTCCTGCACTCAAACGAAAAGTGTAAGCTGAAAAACTAACAAGATTAATCAAAGATCATCAATTCTCACAAATTCATTTTCAGCTCGGACTATCTTTCTTTTCTAATAAACTTAAGCCTTGTATTTTGAGTTTTAGGACGATGAGAAACGCAGTGACCAATAAAAGTTTACAGAAAAGGATTACAACTAATCAAACTGCGGCATTTTTTTACATGAGATATCTGATTATGTAAATACACAAATTTTGACACATCCAACAATTATTTTTCTGATACCTGACCGACGGAGCCAAACCGGTACATGACAGTCTCCCCCATACCATCTGAATTTGGTGACGACCAATACGAATCAAATGCCACTCCACTAACCTGCCAACATCATCCAGTAAGAACTTAGTAAACAAGTCACAATCGGGTAATATAAGCGCAATGCTATTAAAAATAAATAAAAAATAAAAACACTAACCCAAGAGTTGTGCCCCTCTCCCCATGCTACAACTTTCCGATCTTCCATGCTCCAAACTTGAACTAGATCATCTTCACCTCCTGTCAGTATGTATTTTCCATCCATGCTGTTCCAATTTCAATCAATCATACTATCCTCTCAAAAGTATAATAATATCTTTATGCAAAAAAGGCCAAATAAAAAAGAAGTTCAAAATTCACTGGTCATTTACAAGATCGGAACAATATTATAAAAACTAGCTGCAAGCTTCAATAGAAAACCAGTGAAGATGCACACCTCCAAGCGCAACATAAAAGGGCCCCATAGTAACTTTTGCCACCACATATAAGTTGCTCTTTTGAGTAGTCAAAAACACGTAGATAACCTGCATTCAGTAATTAAATTTAGCTCATATTTAACCTAATGCATAAAAGGATCCTTGAACAGGGAAAAAAAAAAGAGCAATTGCACAGTGCAAACAATGACATTATACCATCTCTTCCAACAGTCGCTAAATAGGACCCATCAGTCGAGAAAGCAATACCATTTACTGAACCTTGGCAGATATGCCATCTGGCAATTGGGTTACTCTGCACACACATAACAGGAAGTCAACAGCAAAATGGTAGTTGGAGAAGGAAATAGAAATTCCGCTTTTCAGATATAAATTTCCCCCTTATAACTATCTGACATTTATCAGTCATATGTTGATGCAATGCAGCCTTCGGTAAGTAACCACAATGATATTCCAGTATAATGGACATGAACCTGTAGGATCTCACACAGAACTTAATTAACTGATAAATTTTGTTTGGACAACTTAACATTTGAGAACATTGTAGGTTAAAATAGCCTAGCAAATGAAGACCGAGTTTCACAAGTCTCAAACAGTGCCTGTAGTAGACTAGGAATCTATACTGTCGATTAATAACCAAAATACAGCACCCAAAAAAATTTATATCTCAGAATATGATACAAAATTTGTTATCAAAAGGTCAACATAGCGTCTATTAACTGTCAGCAGTCTTAAATTCACCATGTTGACATAGCAGCTGCATGTTGAGCCTTATCTAAATTATATAAAAACTTGCACAGCCACTTTTAGAAGAAATAGGAACATGGGGAACACAACTTAATACCTTATTGTAACGTGCATGCGAAACTGAAAATTGAGCTGGATCTTTGATAACAGGGAATGAGGAATCGCCTGCCCCATCTTTGCTCTAGAAAGAAATAAAGATAAATAACAATCAAATCAAATTACCTAATATACATGGAACAAAAGTAAAGTTAGCAAAAAGCATTTTCCAAATAATAGAGGCTTGCCTTTTCATATACATACAGATTCCCATCGGCATGAGCAACAACAAAAGCACCGTCACCACCAGGAACCCATGCAATACTAGTACAACGGCTGTTGAAAACAGGTATTAATCAAGCTACTCCACAAAAGCATCCAAAAAAAGTCAAGGAGTCACAATGCTCTCAAATGATACCCATTGAGGAAATGACACAACAACAACAACAACAACAACAACAACAAAGCCTTTTCCCACTAAGTGGGGTCGGCTATATGAATCCTAGAACGCCATTGCGCTCGGTTTTGTATCATGTCCTCCGTTAGATCCAAGTACTCTAAGTCTTTTCTTAGAGTCTCTTCCAAAGTTTTCCTAGGTCTTCCTCTACCCCTTCGGCCCTGAACCTCTGTCCCGTAGTCACATCTTCGAACCGGAGCGTCAGTCGGCCTTCTTTGCACATGTCCAAATCACCGGAGCCGATTTTCTCTCATCTTTCCTACAATTTCGGCTACTCCTACTTTACCTCGGATATCCTCATTCCTAATCTTATCCTTTCTCGTGTGCCCACACATCCCACAAAGCATCCTCATCTCCGCTACACCCATTTTGTGTACGTGTTGATGCTTCACCGCCCAACATTCTGTGCCATACAACATCGCTGGCCTTATTGCCGTCCTATAAAATTTTCCCTTGAGCTTCAGTGGCCTACGACGGTCACACAACACGCCAGATGCACTCTTACACTTCATCCATCCAGCTCGTATTCTATGGTTGAGATCTCCATCTAATTCTCCGTTCTCTTGCAAGATAGATCCTAGGTAGCGAAAACGGTCGCTTTTTGTGATCTTCGCTAGATTGCTCCGGTCATTAGTGTGGATAAGTATATAAATGGATAGAGATAGGAAAAGCAAACACAAGATGTACGTGGTTCACCCAGATTGGCTACGTCCACGGAATAGAAGAGTTCTCATTAATTGTGAAGGGTTTACACAAGTACATAGGTTCAAGCTCTCCTTTAATGAGTACAAGTGAATGATTTAGTACAAATGACATTAGGAAATATTGTGGGAGAATGATCTCGTAATCACGAAACTTCTAAGTATCGGAGTGTGGTGTCGTCTTGACTTGCCTTATCTGTCTCATAGGTAGATGTGGCATCTTCTCTGGAAGTACTCTTCCTCCATCCAGGGGTGGTATCTTTAACTGGTGGAGATGCACAAGGTAATGTATCAATTTCACTTGAAGCTTACTTGTAGTTTCAAGGCTTGGTCAAGCGCGATACAAACCATGTAGTAGGAGTCCCCCAAGTCGCCGAGCTAGGGGGTCTGCTGAAAGAGGTGACAGACAAGGTAAGCAATCAGAGCTCCGACTGATTGTTCACCTTCTCCCCATCTTGCAGCAGCATGAAGGATAAAGAGAAGAAAAATGAAAAAGAGATGATATGAGATACTTTTGCTTTTGAAGAAGTAACTTTCCACAGGCTTATTCTTGAACTGAGCTGGAGGGTTTTCTGGTTTCCTCCAGAGTATAAGGCCGACTGAAGAATTTGAGGGTCAAAACAAGTCCATCAAATCTAGAGTACGTTCCAACCTGCTGATATGGGATACTTTTGCTTTTGACAGAGTAATGGATGTATCGGCACGTGTGCTGTTACGCTTGTCTCCACATGCTTCCTTGTATCCTTCGCACTTGCCCTATCTGTTCCTCAAGCAGATGCGGAAATCTTCCCTGGAAACATAAGATGTTGAAGATGAGTACTCGAGAGCAATGCCAGGTAAGTAATCAGGTAAGGGGTTCCAGGCAGTCAGTTCCTGGCTGGAAGCTTGATTCCAAGTGCTGACTGATTGCTCTCTTTCTCCTTGTCTTGCAGGTAAAAACAAGGCCAAAGGAAAAGACAGGGAAAAAGCATGATATGGGATACTCTTGCTTTTAACCCTGATGATATGAGATATTCTTGCTCTAGTATAGCTTGTTTGCAGAGGTATTATCGGGGGAAAAGAAAGCTGAATATTTCGAAAGGCTTCGTTGGGAGTGCCTTCTCAGATATGATGAAGGGTTGAGCATTTTTGCAGGTCTGCCTGTCCGTTGGGGATGGAGGTCGACATATATAGGAGTCTCCCTAACAACAAGTAGTAATGCTATTCCTTTACCCTGCTTGGTCATAGCACGGTAGTGGGAGCTGCCAGTTTCACATGTTTTAACTCTGTCAGAGCACTTTGAAAAAAGTGGTCTGTGGTATCTGGCTCTCGAGATTCGGAGAACGATGCCTCTTCGATTTTTGAGAAAGCAATCATGCTGGGGGTCTGGCTCTCGAGATTCGGAGAGCAGTGTCTCTTCGATTTTTGAGGAAGTAATCATGTTGGGAGTCTGGCTCTCGAGATTCGGAGGGCGGTGCCTCTTCGATTTTGGAGCAAGCAATCCTGTTGGGAGTGTTGTCTCGAATGTGAGTAAAGGTTGGGCATGTTTGCTAGTCTACCTTGCCACGAAGCACAAAGGTTGACACACAGGGACTT